ATGCAGTGGTTGCCTCTAATTTTAAATGGAAAGAGCACAGACAAAGCCTTATTTTGTTTATATGAAGAGATTTCTTTTTTTTGTTATTTATTTTATCTGGGGCTTGTTTTAAAATTTCAATTTAGTGTTATTTACATTTACATTATATTTAAATTTTGTTATTTAGCAGATGCTTTTATCCAAAGCGACTTACAAATGGGGACAACAGAAGCAATCAAAACCAACAAAAGAGCAATAATATGCAAGTGCTATATTAGTATATTATTATAGTGTTATATTTCAATTTCAGAAAGAAATGTGCAGCATTTTGTCCAAGCAATAATTAAAGGACACATTTAATTTATAATTTGTCTTAAATCTCATTTTGTAAAAAAAAAATTTAAATTGCGAATCGAATCGTGAAATCAAAATCGTGAATTGAATCGAATCGTGAGTTGAGTGAATCGTTACATCCCTAGGGGGCGTTGAAACTCATTTTAATATGCAAAACTGTTTAGCCAGTCGTAGCAGTGGCCGTTTACTTCCGAGTCTAGAATTGTCCACGCATATCCAAATGGAGCGTTCAGACGAGGGGGATCAAAAAGACGACAGAAAATAACCTATTATTACTTCTAAATTATGATGTATTTTGAGGCGAAAGTGGACCTTAGAGAACAGTATAACATTTTTTAAAAAGGCAGTTCATTAACCCTTTAGGCTGAACAATAAAGTGATAACAATAATAATTGAATAGATTTTCCCTTGATAGAATGATAATACATGTTCGATAAGTTTTCAATGTAATGTTTATGCGCCAAAAGCGGAATGAATAATTGTTAATGGCACCACACAGACCAATTATCAGCTCTGCTCAAACGGCAGCACAGCACAAGCAGATGCGTTTACTCACTGATTGTTCTAGCAAGACCGTAGAACCATAGAAACCATATAGTTACAGGTGCTATGATAGTGAGGTGCTATTTGTGGTTTTACTTTTGGTTATCATAATTGAATTATGTGATCCTATGGATGACCAATGGTTAATTTTAATGAAAGTATGAAATTTTAATGAGAGTCCTAACTCAGACAGTCAGAATATTTCGATTTTACATAATGTTTTTAATAGGAGGCTGTTACAATTTTTACAGATGTTGCTATTTTTGTTAATGAGCATAAATTTACATCTGTATCGTGCCATCCAAGTCAGGGAACACAAACCTGTTTCATGATACACCCTTTAGAACATGCAGAAACTATGAAATGCATTACCTTATTAAGAGATGTTGTTAAGGATATCGGACTGAAAAAGATTTGCTTAAGTTAGCTCATGCATATTTTGATGTAGAGCAAATATTTTATTATCATGTTTTTATATAGTACCTCTCAGATTTGTGAAATGTGTTTGTCATGTTCTCACAAAAAAAATAAAAAACTTTCACTCAGGAGAAGAAATCTGCCTTTAAATTTGAAAGAAGTAAAGATTTGACATTTATCGGCATATGAAAAATGTTATCGTGGTAATTTTTTTGGCCATATTGCCCAGCCCTAGACCTCTTTAATTACAAAATACATATTTTCTGTTAACTGAAATATGCATATTTTGCTCCGTTACACTGTATAAACTTGGCTTAAAAGCATTCATTAATGTTTTTGGAATCATTTTTTTTCTTGTAGATTTTCTCGCAAGAGTACATTAACTTGCTGCTGTCCATGTATTTCTTCGTGCTGGGAATATTAGCGCTGTCTCACACAATGAGGTATGAAATTACCTAGAACTTCTAAAATGTTTCATGAGTTTTGGAATTGTGTAATGCTTTTAATACGAAATGATTTAGGTTAACCTTTTTGGTGTTGCTGTGCCAGTCCCTTTATGTGCAGAGTTTTCCCTGCTAACGTGCCAAATAAGCAGTACCAGCTGCTGTTCACCCAGGGCTCAGGAGAAAGCAAAGAGGGTGAGAAGTGTTGGGACATTTACAAAACTACATTTGTGTGTATGGTGTATAAATACTCTTAACATCCTTGTTATCTCCCACAGAGATCGTCAACTATGAGTTTGACACGAAGGATCTGATATGCCTGGGAATCAGCAGTGTGGTAGGGGTCTGGTACGTCCTCAAAAAGGTAGAGTAGATCTGTCTTAATTTAGATCAGCTTTCTGTAGAACTGTCTCTTTATATATTAAATGTAGTTAATTTAGCTGATCACTGATGTTTTACATGGGCCAAATGGATTGTTAGGCATGCACATGCATATTCTTTGTGAACATGTATAAATCCAGTAAACAGCAGTAGTGAAGTACCTGCCCTTAAACTATATTTTGTCTTGGTCACACATACCAAACTGATGATCTTATTTCATTGTAATACATAGAATAAATATAGAAATATTTAACATTTATGCATGAAAGCTTTGGGCATCATTCACTGATAACTAATAACATACTAATTACATATTTATGTGTGTTTTGCATATGTATGCATATAAATTAGCCTTTACCCTTATTTTAAGTGAGTAAGGACATGCTATGCACACAGCTAGAAATTAAACCATCTCCACATTTACATTGGGCAAACGCTTTTATCCAAAGTGACTTTGGATATCCAAATTTCCAAATTTTATGGAGATTGGGCTGTAGGTGACTATATTCTATGTAAATATTTCTATGGTAAATTACTTGGAATTGCCAAAAGTGCTATTTTTAATAATTGATTTAAGTGGTTACAGGCTTGCTAAATAATACTTAATATCATTTCTGTATGTGCTTAAATGCTAGGGGTGTAAATCGGATGGTTCGTCACGATACGATATCGATTCTCATACTCAGCGATACGATATTTGCCGATACTTCAAAAAATTCTATGATACGATTTTGATACGATTCGATACAGGAGAATATCGATCGATATATCGATATTATTATATTATATACCTATTTTAAACAACCATCTACATTTTTATTAACTCACAAATGCAACCAAAACATATAACATGAACATTTATCTTAAATTTTCACATCCATTTCCTCAACTGGGACATTCACAACAAAAAATAGGCCTACACTTTTTTCTTTTTTTTTTAAATAATAAAGAAAAATAAATAATTGGAAAAAAAAAAATGAAGTCGCACACAAGATCAGTAATCTTAAGATATGATGCTAAATATGCAATATGACAACAGTCAAGACAGTCTTTCAGGTTTCTGTGCTAAAATATGCAATGTGTAAAATAATGTAAATCCTCATTAGGAAACAACACAAATGAGGTACTCCAGTTGTAGAAAAAAACAAAACAAAAATAAAGCAGTTAACTTTATTTGATACTTTTTTTGGCTGCTACTATGGGCTCAGTACTTAAAAACCTTTTCTACAGATAACCAAATTACAAGCAATAGCAGAAAATAAATACAATATAACAAAGACACAAATTAAATAAACAGTGCTTTTCAGGTTTTTCAGGTAGATCTAAAAGAAATGTTCAGGTACAGATATGTAATCAAATGTAAAATAACACTGCATAGTCTTCACTGTATAGTAGGGCTGGGTATCGATTCAGATAAAAGTTGTTCAGTCAAAATCAGTGAGATTTTTGTGAAGAACTTGCAGCTGCTGTGTATGTGATATGACGGTAGTTTTCTCAAATGAAACGGTAAATGCTAATGAAGTGAGTCTCAGAGCAGCTGGAGATGACATTCGTGTTCATAGCATCATATAGTGAGATGGCAGAAGCTGAAAACACCGTAGACACAAGAGCGTCATCCGCGCTTTAGTATGTGTAAACAAAACAGTGTGCGAACAATTCATTCATTGCGGAAATCGTGGCGCCTATGCGTGATATCAAATGCTTCCACAGGTTTATAGTATTACTATAGCATTTCACCTGAGTATTGCGAATCACTCGTATGGCCATGATAAGCGCTGAATGAATGACAGGATTTCTGTTGTAACATCGCGCAAGGTAAATAAGGTTGACATCTAGTGGAGAAGACTAATGATAAGATTCATGTTAATCAGATCTTGTTTTAAATGTGTGCTGAAATAAATCCCGGAAAAGATCGATTTGCGGCTTTTGAGAATCGATATCGAATCGACGTCATTT